TGTAAGTGAGGCCGCCTCTGGCACATGGTCTCGGGCCTTGGGTCTTGGAGTAAATTGTATTGCGTGTGTTTTCTGGCCTTCTCTTTCCTTACCTCCTAAACACGCACATTAAGGGCAGCTTTGAAACAGAGATGTCACAAAAGGTGTGAGTGTTTGAGGCAGGGGAAGGAAGCAGGGTTGCTAGGTAACCAGGGGACCAGCCTGGCTGAACAGGTACGAGAGGGCTGAGTGCGGTGTGTGGGCACCCTGGGGCCTTGCTCTTCTGCCACCAACCAGAAGGCAGCTGCATCCAGTCCTCCAGGCAGAAACTTCCTTCGACACAGATGAAAAAAGATGCTGAGTAATGCGTTGCCTAGTCAGGCTTTCTTACTGGAGACAGACACTTCAAACAGAGAGTTTGTTACACAGCTGAGAAGTCTAACCGACTGGGTCCAGTAGATGAGGTCATTAGCTCATTTTTTTCCCCCAATGTTTATTTTATTTATTTATTTTTATTTTTTTTTTTTGACAGGCAGAGTGGACAGTGAGAGAGAGAGAGACAGAGAGGAAGGTCTTCCTTTGCCGTTGGTTCACCCTCCAATGGCCGCCATGGCCAGCGCACTGCGGCTGGTGCACCACACTGATTCGAAGGCAGGAACCAGGTGCTTCTCCTGGTCTCCCATGGGGTGCAGGGCCCAAGCACTTGGGCCATCCTCCACTGCACTCCCGGGCCATAGCAGAGAGCTGGCCTGGAAGAGGGGCAACCGGGACAGAATCCGGCGCCCCGACCGGGACTAGAACCCGGTGTGCCAGCACCGCTAGGCGGAGGATTAGCCTGTTGAGCCGCGGCGCCGGCCAAGCTCATTCTTTATCATGTCTTTTTCTGTGTAGTAGTCCCATTCTCAGTTTTTTTAAAAAAATTTTTTTGCATATCATTTTTTTATGTGTAAGGTTAGAGAACTTAATTCTTTTATGATGGTTGTACTTAAGAACCAGCTTGCAAAATTCCTGTAAGTTGAGCAGTCAGCTCTGTTCATCCGTTCACCTCCCCCAGATAAGGAAGTAGATGGAATTTGAGTGAGTTTGCAGATTGTGTGGACAAAAGCAAGATGTTATCTAGAGAAACTGAAAGTCTCTGAAGTGAGACAGGGGCTTTTTAGCCATGTGAATCTCAATTTTTTAAAAACATTTTATTTATTTATTTGAAAGGTAGAGTTACAGAGAGGCAGAGGCAGCAACAGAGATAGAGAGAGAGAGGTCAGTCTTCCATCCACTGGTTCACTCCCCAAATGGCCACAACGGCCAGAGCTGCGCCAATCCGAAGCCAGGAGCCAGGAGCTTCCTCTGGGTCTCCCATGCGGGTGCAGGGGCCCAAGGACGTGGGCCATCTTCCACTGCTTTCCTAGGCCATAGCAGAGAGCTGGATCAGAAATAGAGCAGCCGGGACTCGAACCGGTGCCCATAGGGGATGCTGGCACTGCAGGCAGCGGCTTTACCCACTCTGCCACAGCGCCGGCCCCCCATTCTCGGTTTATTTTCCTGGCTCTGAGTGAGCTGCCCACAGGTGATGGGTAAGGGGTCGTCTGGTGACGGAGCTCCAGGTTCCTGCATCCCTAGGAATCACCCCTAGCGCACAGCTTCTCTTTCCTGGGTTCGTAGAAGGAAGTGAAGCTCCAGGGAGGGGTTCTGATTGCCATGCATGCGTCACAGGTTTCCCGACAGAGTAGCGGGGTACTCGGATTTGCAGCCGGGTAAGCTTGGCACAGAACAGGAAGGAGAAGTGCATCTGTCAGGAGGGGCGGAGGGAATGACAAGCTGCTGATGGACGGCTCAGAACAGCAGATCCCCACAGCAGTGCTTGACAGGCGTCACCAGGGTGTGCCGCGACTCCCGTTCATGTGGAAAACTGTAACAAAGTGCACTGGAAGGATGCTTACTGAAGCATTACTTTTAATTAAAAAAATCAGAACCAACTCCAGTGTATATCCATAGAGAAGTGGGCAAGTAAATCACTTCATAATCACACAGCATGATGCCGGGTAGTGATCACAGAGCAGATAGAGTTGTATTTACTGACCCAAGAGTGTGGCTTTGAAATATATTAAGGGGAAAAAAGTTATGATGCGGAACATAAAATACACAGCTTTCATAGATTCGGAGAAAGAATCCTTTAGGCATATACCCCAAATGTTAAGAGTGGCTTTCTTGTGGGAGTTTGCTATTGGATTCCTTTTTTGTGTGTTATAAATTCTTAAAAGAATGATCTTTTACTCTGAGCAAATACTACTTTTGTAGCTAAAAGCCAGTGAAGATGAGGTTTTAAAAATTAATTATGGATATTTAAAAATAGCCTTATTGGGATATTATCACCTAATATAAAATTTATCCTTTGAAAGTTTACACTTCTGTGGTTTCCAAGGCATTCATGGAGTTGTGCACCCACTATCGCTATTTAATTTCAGAACATTTTCATCACCCCAAAGAGAATCCTTACAGAATTAGCGGTCACTATTCAGGCCCATTCTCCATGCACAGCCTGGCAAACAGTAATCTGCTTTCTCTTTCTTTAGGTATTTTTATTCTGGGTATTTCTTGAAGTGGCCTCATCCTATGTGTGATATGTAATGTCTTTTGTTTTACTTGTTATCTTCAGGGTTCTTCCATGCAGAAGCATGTGTCAGCACTTTATTCTTGCTTTATCACTGAATAGTATTCCTTGCGTGACTGTACCTTGTTTCATTATACCGTTCATCTGTTGATGGCCATTTGGGTTCTTTCCACGTTTTGACTTTTGTGAGTCGCTGTTCAGCTGTGTGCAGCGGGGGCTTGTTGTACAGCAGGGGTGGGGAGCGTCCGGTCCATGGGCCATATCAGGCCTCAGAATCATTTGTTCTGGCCCTGCTGAGACAGCCACAGGCAGGACTTGAAATTCAATAAATCTATAACAGGCTAATTTTTAATTTTAATTTTTAAGTTGATAATTTTGTATGGCTTGTGAATGATGTTACAGATATCCAAGTGACCCTTGTCCAGAAAAGGTTTTCCCACTCCGGTGTACAGGATTTTGTGTGGACATATATTTTCAGTTCTTTTGAGCATATATTCAGGAGTGGATTGCTGTATCCCATGGTAATTCTAGATTTAACTTTTGGATGAATTGTCAACCTGTTTTTTGCAACATCTGCACTATTTTACATTCCCATGAGCGGTGTATGAGGGCCCCAATTTCTTCACATCCTCACCAATACTTGTTATTTGTCTCTTGTTTTTTAGTGATCCTGATGGGGCTAAAGTGGTTTTGATTTGCGTTTTGCCAACGAATAGTGATGTGTAACATCTCCTCATGAATGTATTGACAATTTGCATATTTTCTTTGGAGAAATGTCCATCCTAGTCCTTTGCCATTTAAAAAAAATGTCTTTTTATTGTTGAATTGTAAGAAATCTTTGTACAGTTTAAAAATTTTATTTATTTATAGAAACAAAAAAAACTCCAAATTTTATTTATTTATTTATTTGAAAGTCGGAGTTACAGAGAGGGAGGGAGGCAGGAAGAGACAGAGAAAAAGAGAGCAGAGATCTTCCATCCACTGGTTCACTCCCCAAATAGCTGCAACAGCCAGGGCTGGGCCAGGCAAAAGCCAGTAACCAAGAACTTCATCTGGGTCTCCCACGTGGGTGGCAGGGACCAAGCACTTGGGCCATCTGCTGCCACTTTCCTGGGGCATTAGCAGGGATCTGGTGGATTGGAAGTGGAGCAGCGGGGACACAAACCAGCACCAGTAGAGAGATGCTGGTGTCATAGGTGGCAGCCTTCCACACTGCACCACAATACTGGCCCCTATATATTCAACATACAAGTCTCAGTATTGTCTCTCATTCTGTAGGTTGGGCTTTCACTTTCTGAATAGTGTCCTTTTTAAAAAAAAATATTTATTTGAGAGGTAGAGTTAAGACAGTGAGAGGGAGAGACAGGGAGAAAGGTCTTCTATCCGCTGGTTCACTCCCCAAACGGCCGCAATAGCAGGAGCTGCACCGATCCGAAGCCAGGAGCCAGGAGCCTCCTCCTGGTTTCCCACGTGGATGCAGGGGCCCAAGGACCTGGGCCATCCTCCACTGCTTTTCCAGGCCACAGCAGAGAGCTGGATAGGAAGAGGAGCAGCCAGGACTAGAACTGGCACCCACATAGGATGCCGGCACCACAGGTGGAGGATTAACCCACTGTGCCACAGCGCCGACCCAACTGGATAGTGTCCTTTGAACCACAAACAATTTGAATTCTGGTCAAGTCTCTTTTATCTGTTTTTCTGTTTGTCACTTGTACTTTTGGTTGGCATATCTAAGAAACTTCTGCCTAATGCAGGATCTTGAAATTTTACACCTATGTTTTATTCTAAGGATTTTAAGTTTTAACCTTTTAATTTAGTTCTACTTTGAGTCAATGTTTATATATGGTGCGAGGTGCAGGACTGTGTAAGAATTTGACCTTGTCCAAAGAGAGGTCTAGCCTTCGTCCTCGGCTTTGGGAAGGTAACCTATGTCATACCTAACAGGAATGGCCCTGTGTATCTCACGGTGAGTCTGGCCACACCGGAAAGGATAGCCATGTGACTTAGGGAGGGGCGCTAAGTTACGTGATGTCAGTCAAGCTAGAAGCTGGCGGGGGGTGGGGTGGGAGCCTCATTTTTAGCAGCGTTTTGGTCTTTATTCACTACATTCTAGTAGCACCACTGCTCCATGTCCACCCCAGCGATGAAAAAAATGTCTCTAGATGTCGCCTAATGCCCCCTGGGAGACAGAACGGCCCAGCTGAGAACATCCGCTCTTATTGCCTTGTAGATTCCAAGCAGTGAACCTGGTGGACCCCCCACTGACCTCTCTCTAGACTGGTCAGTGTGACGATGGCTTCGAGCACTGATCAGAAGCCATGACTCCCCTCCGCAGTGAATTAATCATGTTCTTGGTTTCGACTGCCTCACCTCTGTAGGGACGAGTGCACTTCAGACAGAGCCTCAGGAAGCGATGGGCGTCCCAGCTGGTACGTTACACAACTGTTAGGAAGAGCCGGGGTCTGCCCGCGAACATGGCTGAACCTTGATGCTTAAGCCATTTTGGCTTGGACTTCTTCTTACTCTTGAATGTATA